AATGCAGCCTGTTTGGGGGACTTGCAGGGTGAAGGGCGGAGTGGGGACTGTTAGGAAGTGACAGCAGGACTCAGGATGGTTTGCTTTCTCCTCACCCAGGTGGAGTTTGTCCCTGAGCTGCCCAAAACCGTCACTGGCAAGATCAAAAGGAGTGAACTTCGGGAAAAGGAGTTTAGTCAGATGCAACAGCAGTAAATTCAGCATCCCTTCTGAGTGTGACCTTGGGCACACACCTGGCTGCCTCGATGTCCCCACATGGCGGGGCGAGGGGCGATGTTGAGGGCTGATGGGGAAGGGCCCAGGACAGCCAGCATTCCCGCATTTCTGTTCTTTTAAGTGAACATCACTCACTCCCCTGCCTCCCAGGCTCCTGTTCCTTTGGATGCCCAGGCGGCGCTCAGATCGGGGCTGAAGATAATAAAGTGCTGACATCGGCATCAGGGTGCTCCTGGGTTGTGCCTTCATCGTGTACATGAACCTGTGCTGAATGCGGTCCCTCCTTGCTCTCCCTCCTCCCCCCAGAGAGAGCACAAGGCCTGATTCTCACTCCTGTTGCCTCCCTCACACACACCCTATTGTTCCCAGGTGGCCCTGCATGTCCAGTAGGTGACCAGGACCCAGAGTTCTGGGAGTGATGCTCTGAGCAGCCTAGGCACCTGCCTCAGCTAGGTCCCAGCCTAGGCCCGGTGTGGGGAAGTGAGTGACCAGCCCTCCAGGGACCGGGTTCCACAGGACTCTCCCAACATTCTCAAGAGGGGCCCGTCCCTCATTCCTAGGAGGGGCCAGGGGCCTAGTGGTCTTACCCCTCAGTTTTCCCCTGTGTGCACCCACCCACGCATTCCTTCCCAGGGATCCAGGGTCTTCCAGCCCTTCTCCCAGGGCCAGAGTCCTCCCTATAAACTCCCCCTCCACACTCTTTAAGTTCTTTCTGCCACCAGAGTCTGCCTCACCTTCTCTCCCAACCTGGTCGGAGGTTCTATGAACTAACCCTTCACTTCATCCATCCTTCGGATCAGACCCCCAGGGGCACATCACAGGCTGGGAAAAGCAGGGACAGAAGGGCTCAGCCTGGGGGGGGGGAAGAATCACATATTGTCTCCTTTTCCTTCACTCCTGGGAGTCACTCTTAGGGAGATTGCCTCTAAAGCCCTTTGCAAGAGGGCACACACACACAAACTCACAGCAAAATGTACAGGTACTGCTTAGGAGTGATGTAGTCTTTCAGCCTTCCCCCTACCCCCACTGGGAAGCTCTTCATTTAACCATCTATTCTGAATGAAAACCTTTGCTGGATATAGTGATCTTGGTCTCAGATCCTAGCTTTCCATTACCTTTAGTACTTCATGACATTCCCGTCTGGCCTGTAGAGTTTCTGATGAGAAATCAGGTATCAGCCTGATGGGAGCTCCTTTGTAGGTAACAGTTTGCTTTTCTCTTGCTGCCTTTAAGATTCTCCCTTGGTCTTTAATTTTTGGGACTTTAATGATGATGTGTCCAGTCGTGGGCCTGTTTGGGTTCTTCTTGCTTGGGGTTCTCTATGCCTCCTGGACTTGTGTGACCTTTCCTGTACCAGGTTAGGGAAGTTTTCTGCCATTATTTCTTCAAACATGTTCTCTGTCCCTTCCTCCCTCTCTGCCTCTCCTGGCACACCTACTATGTGAACATTGTCACATTTTGCTGTATTGCAAATCAGCGAGCTGGACAAGATGCCTTAATAAGCCAGTTAGTTAGGAGGCATCTTTATTGCACGCAGGTTCAGAGCAGATTAGCTCTGTCATATTCTGAACATCCAAAGGATGAAGCATTTTCTTTTTATATTCTT